ATTTTACCATTAAAATATTTTAATTTATTTTTATTCTATTTCAATGTAATGTTGGTCAAAGGTCATTTCACCAAAATGATTGTTGAGGGGGTTATTTGGCCTAATTTCCCCAAATTTACCTTCCAACTCATTCCGCCTTCCCTTTCTCTTATGTGTTGACAACCACAAGTCAGAATGGTCGCCGAAGACTCTGCCTCTTCACCGCTCATGCCTCCTTCTCTGATCGTTGAGCCCCCGGAGATTGACGTGGAGTCGGGGCCGGACGAGCAAATTCAGTGCCGCTTCTGCTTTGAAACTAAAGGTATTCTTGTTATCTAATTTCAATTTTTTTTTTTACTTATTCTGAGTTTATGAAGTTTTCTGTTTTCTATTTTCCTCTTAAAAGTATCATGGGTTTTTATGATCATTTGTAAACGACTTTGATGGCAAATAGAGAGTAAAAGTTTAATTTTCCCCATAATTTGCGTCATCCTTTAGCAAATGACTTCATCAGCCATTTTTGACTTTCTCTACGTTTGACTCAATATTTGCAACCTTCAATAATGTCGCTGTAAAAGAAGTCACGTTTTATGACAATTCTGGTAATAATTTCTGGGTATTGGGTATTTAGCTCGTCAATGATCATTTTTAATTTTTTAAACAATTTCCCTCAAATTCATTGATCTCTATTACATGCAATTTTGTTTCGGTTGGAGAAAAAAATGTTTAATCAATAGGCTCTCTTTATCATTCAACAAGTTTTGAAGAGGAAAGAAGTGATTTTGTAGATTTTTATGCGTGGAAATTGTTAAATAAGGGGTATGGGGTTCAAATGTTGCCCATGTTACTACTTTGTAAAGAAGGTTGGAATTTATTTAACCAGTTCAACATTGTATTGCAAGAGATTTGGTTTGCATTCTGAACCAGCAAATTTACTATTCTTTTCTGGAATAACTAGAAGAGTATTTGCTTACTTCGAGTATGTAAGTTGATTTATATATTCTTCACCTTGCAATCCAATATCATCATGTTTTTCTTGTTATTATCTTATAATTTTTCATTGCCCTGGAAGATTATGGTTTAAAAGTTTCTTAACTTTTGTTCTTTATTAGGTAGGGATTTTATTGCCCCTTGCAAGTGCAAAGGCACATCCAAATATGTTCACAGGAAATGTTTGGATAATTGGCGTGCTGTGAAGGTACACATACTTATTAGTCGCTGTGAAGTTATTCTTGTATTAATCTTCTCCTTCATTTGGAGTTTCCTGTTGACCTATTTGCTTCATTATTATATTGGAAAGTGCCAAAAGACTGCATCTTTTGTTATTCTCATTTACTTTATTAATTTTTTCTGTAGAAGTGAATTTATCTTGCGTCGATTTTCGGTAGTTCTTTTGTGAAACTGAAATATTAACATATCGAGATGCTGCACATAATCCTGATACCCGGGAAATCCATGTATTGTGAAACTGAAATATTAACATATCGAGATGCTGCACAAAATCCTGATACCCGGGAAATCCATGTATAATATAAGCTCATAATAGTTTTTCCCATCATGCAGGAAGGGTTTGCATTTGCTCATTGCACAACTTGTATGGCTCCTTACTATTTAAGAGTCCATACTGCTCATCCAAAATGTCGAATTTTGAAGTTCCAATTTTTTGTGACCAGAGATATTCTATTTATCTTGCTTGCTATGCAGTTGGTAGGTCAATGAGACTCTTGTTTTGATTATTTTTCTATTTTTTCATCTGTTTTTGTTACTTTTTTGTGATATATTATTTGAAGGGCTTCGTAATAAAATGAGGGGTAATTATATTACCTCGCCACATTATAAATACACAACAATTAAAATAAAATTTTAATAAATACACCACATTAAATTTCACAAATATACCCATAACTCAATTAACAAATAAAAAAGAAAAGAAAAGGTAAAATACTCTGTACACCACATTTCGCCCATGTTTGGCCCCCATTATTTGTGATTATAATTTTTGGAATATTGTTGTTTTGAAGAATATGTGGTTAAAAAAGAAGAATTTTTTTTTTTGGATTTACGTGTAATATTATTTTATTGGAGAATGTGTGATAGATTAAAAAAGAGAGAAAAATGGATTATAATTTTGATGGAAGCCAAATGGGGGCTTCATTACCTTCCATCCCCTCCTCCCACCCACCCACCTACCTCTCTCTCCTCAATCACTGACAAACTCCTGCAAGATCTCCATGTGTATTTGATTTCACTCATTCATTAGCAAGAAACAAAGGAGAAGAAAGAAATTAATTATTGCAAACACAATAAACTTGATGATTTTGTATAGAATTGCAGAAGACAGAATGCTTGGATTTGACAAAATATTCATACTTGATGCAACTTTCCATGCAGCGTGGATGCAGAAATTTTTTGTGCTCATATAGGTTATTGCGAAATTTAATCTGTGCTCATATCTAGAAATTTGAAGCGGCAGAATTTGATTGTCCTCATATAGATTATTTTGAAATTTGATTTGTGCTCACATGGATCATCCACAAATGGAGATTTTCAGAGTGATGAAGCAGTTGAATAATTATTGAAAAAAAAATTTATAGTGAAATTTATGGCAGTCAAACTTAATTTCATTATTTGCCTGAATTATCATTGTTCATCCAACTCATTCACAATACAGACTTCACTTCAAAATGAATCATATGCTCTGAAGCCAAATCATAGAAAATATGAGCAAAATAAACTAAATGATTGTGGTGGAATGAATAAAAAATATTTTTTATGTAAAAAGAAGGTTTAAAAGCATGGTTATTTATGTAATTTTAGTTATGGCTATATTAGTAAATAGAAAAAATACTTTAAAATGTGGTGAAACAAGCAAATATCGTGGTGGCAATATAATTAGCCTAAAATGACATGTATGAAAAATAAGTCTTTAGGCCAAATGTTCTGGTTTCGGTAACGCATACTCCTCGTTCCAGGTTATTGCTTCATTGGCGTATTTGGTGTATCTTATTGATGGTCATGAGAACTTTTGGCTTCGTCTCACCTGGGGTTTTGGAAGCAAACTTGCTTTCTACTACATATGTGGTAAAACATCTTGAGCTTAATACCAGTAATGGAGGCACTGTCCATCTATATGTTTTTAACCAATTGTGACTGTCTCATCTTATGCTTTTGTTTGTTGATGTTTCTTTCCTTCATCAGCACAAAATTTGTGTCTTTTTTGTATATTTCCCAAATTATCCTTTGTATAGAAATCCTGAAACCAAGTTATCAATCTGTTACCTGATTTACTTGGTGGGATATGAGTGTATTAGACATGACCGATGCTGATACTTGAATAACACATAATGATATGAACACTGTTTTTGATCGTTCTATCATGTACTTGAGTTTTAAGGAGCTCCCTAGCATTCCAAAAAAGGGCTTGTCGTGTAATATACTTGGGTTTAGTCATATTTGGTCGTTTTCAGCCTCATCCCATCTATTTTGTCTTATAGCCACCTCTCAGCTCAAGAAATTTCTGAGGATTTTTACTTGGTATATATTCTGGGCATAAGGCAAAGAGAGTAGGACTGGGTATCTCTTACATTAAGGGTCTTTCAATTTCTAACTTGTCTTAATCGACAATGTTAATGCACATTAGCTTTTTCAAATCTGACGTTGGTGCTTCTTTGGCAACTGCATTTGTAAAAACTCGGACTATGTACATCTGCAATCTTTGTACTCAAATCAAATAGAACTTGAGTTGGACTCTTTTGAAGTATTTGAAATCCCCCCCCCCCCCCCCCTCCTCTTTTTTGAGCGATTTTTTGTGAGAATTTGAATCCATTGCGTGGTGCATCACTTTAATGTCTTGCATTTCCTGTCTTAGAGTGGCACTCTTGTATTATATTGGCTTGACTGCAGGGCCTCTTTTACATTGTAGTTGACTAATAATTTATAACATTTTAGGTTCATTCTGTAACCATTATTTTCTTCGGATGCTTGCAATAATCGGCCGTGGATATCACGATGCTGCTATTGATGCAGGTATGTTTTTCCTTTTCCAAAATAAATATATTGAAAATCTTTCTTGATAATAGATCTTAGATAGTTTCATATTATGCTTGAACTGTACCAAGTTCTTTTGCTTTCTTTTCAAATTTTTCTTCATATCTCATCCAATAGCATATCGTGATTAAAACAACACTACAACCAGGTATTTAAACCAGTTTTATTTTGTTTTTGCTGTTAATTACTGCAGCACCAGTATGTTGTGCACTATGATGCTCGGATCTTCCCACAATAGTGAAATCCCCCCCCCCCACCCCCCCCCCCCCCCTCTCCCCCCCATCCCCCTCCCTCTGTGTGTGTGTTTGTATCGTGGTTAATAAAATAATGATTAAGTCTATGACAATGAGCTCTCAGATTCAAGTCTTAAATTTTTAAGATTCTTTTGTTCCACTTTTGTGGGTTTATTATTATTAGTAGTTGTTGAAATACTAAAAGAAGCCATTCTCTCTCACAAAATTTTTGATTTTGTTATTTGTGTTTTTCCCCCTCAAACATATCAATAAATATTAGAAGTGCTAGAGTTTGAAAATCCCAAGATCCAAGATGTTCAAGTCAGGATTCTATTCTTAGTTCTTGCAAACAGGGATCAAACATTTCTTTTACATATACCTTAATACCCTTTAAAACTATTATTGGAAAATTTCATAGCAACGAATGTGGCGTGATGATAACTGTCTAATTATAAATTGAATATATACCAAATTTTCTGTGCTTCAAAAATGACATCGATAACATTTCCAGAATTAACAAATAAAAAGGATAGATTATTCATAGTAAAGGAGCGGGAAAGAAATTGGAGAAAGAAACCCTTCAGTTAAGCGCGCCATAAATTCTATATTAGTCATTCTTTTCAGCCCACCCCTGTCATGAAGTTTTGTTCTAGATTGTGTCTGACGAAATTGCTCGGGAAGACCTTTTAGAATTCCTAAAACCCCCTTTGAAATATTTTATTGTTTGGACCATGCAGCTAAATGCAACTATAAAAAGGTGCACTACTTGAAAATCATGTGAAGAGATGCTATATCTATTTTTGGTCTTAATATTTTCGCTTATACTAATATTGGTTTATATAGGCATAAGGAACTTATTAACCAACTCCAGAATTGTATAATTACCTTCCATTACCTTTGTAGTTGTGGTATTATAAAGTAATGTTGTTAACAAAATTATGGGGGTTAGAAATATTAATTTAGGGCATGAAAAAAGTTGATACATTTATGATATGAAATTATTCGACCTTTTCCTTTCCTACTGGAACATTTTTGTTGACCGCAACTTATAATCTTCTCAAAAATTAACTGTAATTCTTTAGCGAAAGAATCCTGCTTCCTGCAAGTAAGCAAAATCATTAAGAATTTGAGAGTCACTGCTATAGAAAATGTGCTTTACTTAATAATCCTTCATTGTAGAGCAATGCTAGTATTGGAAGGCACATAATAAAGATTTTGTCTAATTCTTGTGTGTTTGTGATACTCTAAGCCTGCACTAGATGACCGAGTTAGATAGTTTTGTACTCCCCTTCTATGAATATTGGGTCATAACTTAATGTATAAGTGTCTGAGGGGTATAGGGCTTGTAAATATTGGGCAAGTTTAGTAAGAATTGAATCAAGCAAGAGCTAGGCGTCATACTGGCTTTCACCCCTCCCATCACTTCACCCGTTGGGTTATCATAGCAAAAAGATGGGAGCTCTGGGAATTTAATTTCAGGGAAGTTTGTATGAAGAACACTACTGCTGCATTAGCTATTTACGGGACACAAGCATGCAAGAAATATCATTACTGGATATCCTGTGGAGTTGTCACATGATTATAGCTCACAGCAGATGATGGTTTCCAGTTGGTTCAATGAAATAATTTTTTCTTTTACAATTATTTGTTAGAACTTTTGATTAATGTGACATGGATTTTACCAGCTTTCCATTCATATCATTGTACTTTACTGTTCTAAACTTTTGCTTGGGTTCTTCCCTAACCTTTACTTTCATAGTCTTTAATGCTTGACTCTTGTTTGACTTGCCACTTTATAACTCATCTTCATATTACTTTTCGATGTTTCAGAGAACACACAAAATTTTTATTCATGCAATAGAATATAGAGTAGAATACATCTATCTACAAAGTAATTTTACTATTCAATTTAATTCATACAAAAATAATAAAAATAAAGCAGAAAAGGGTTCCTCAGTTTTTCCATATAATGTGTGATATTTAAAAATAAAAATTTAGACATTGACAAACATGTTAAAAGATTTATAGGTGCTGACATACAATGTTCTCTTGAGAGTTGTGAAAGATTTACATATGGGTACATTTATGGTCCTGTTTTCACTTTAAACTCCAGTTTTGCAAAGCTCATTGGTTTTTACGTTGTCAAAGTTCAAGAATGACAACATTGTCTATGTTCAACGACTGTTTTTAGTGGTGTCATTCGATGAACAAAGCCAAACTCTTCTTGTCCCGTTACGTGTATGCAACTGTTTTTTAACAAGTCAGTGGTGCCTCTCGACCTCTTCTACTCTGCCGTAACCCTTGATAGATATACAGGATTTGGTGAGAAGAAACATTCAATGTCGAGTTAAAATAGAAACTGAATTTGGGAAGGAAACTAAATCCCAATCGGAATGCAGAAATGGCAAGTCTAAATTCCGTTTATCAATGATCTGAACAAAATCGAATGTCCAAAATGAGAAAATTACTAGTTAAAGGAAATTCTATAATTTCTCGATTAACTACTCCTATATTATATAACTTGAAGATTATTTCAAAATCTTGTAATAGATCTCAAATAACCTATATAATGCCTTCTTGTTTCTCATGAATCCATATTTGGACCTCATACCAGTTTATGTGTAGACGTGCAGATTTGCCCTAATGATGTTAACTCCATCTTACTTTATTATCTATGCAGGGGCACTGTTGTTTTTTGCTTTGCTGGGCTTATCTGGCTGCTTCATAATGTGTAATCATGCAAGTGTGTTCGACAATCTAGATCAACAATGTCAAGAATCGTGTATTTGTTGTTGTGACCACAGGTATACAGTCTCTTTTATGACTCATGATAACTCTGGTATCGGATAGGAGATACTCTTCCCAATTAATATATAATATATTGTATTATTGTCATTGTATTGTACAGTTGGTTTTTCCCATGGTATTCATTTTGTCTCATCCTTGCAGTATCTGGAGAGTTCATTTTACATCTCCTTTTCTAACTGTTAAGAAAAAATGTTTCCTTTTTTGGTCAATGTTTGGCTGAAGAATCAAACCACGTTCTACCATATTAACTATTTGCCTCTCATCATTAACAGATGAATCTCTGAATGTCGAGCATGACAAATGCCATTTCTTCACCATCGGAAAAATTAACATAATGACTGTTGATATAAGCATTTAAACCTGGATTGAGTTAGAAAGGCTAAATAGGGTATCGAGATGTTTTACCCATGTGAGGTGAGACTTATGCCTCAAACTAATGAAACAACTGACTATATGTTTAAGAATTTTGCTTGCTCTGACTTTAGAAGTAAAGAAAATCAATGTCAAAGAGAGAGAAGAAAAACACAGAAATACAATGAGAAAAATGTAAAAGAAAGAACAGTGTGAAGTTGCATCTTATGACGTTTTCTTTTTGAGAATCTTTTTCTTCTTGTTTCCTAGGTGTGTTCAAAACTGCATGCATACTTCACTGAAAATTATGTTAATAAATTTAGATTACTTGTTTGGGAGTCGAGACAATTTTTTTTCCTGATTCTATAGATATGACTTTCTGCTTTCATCACATGAATCTTGATGCTTCAACTATGACACATTCAGCTTCGTTCATTTGTTGTGTGGTGATTGCCGTATGTGCGACGCCCCACTTTTCTCGAATGATTGTACCAGATGCATCGATGCTTGTTCTAATACAACTGGTGAATGTTGTTGCCCGCGAGGTGATGGTGAATCTGGGTTGCCATTTTTAATTACGGCGGCTTTAGTTGTGCTGCTACTGTTTGTTGTATTCGGTATATTCTTCAGTGTGTTGGTGGCCACAATGGTTGGACAAAGGATTTGGCAACGGCACTACCACATACTTGCAAAAAGAATGCTAACGAAAGTGAGTCAGTTTTGCATTCTGTATTCACTTGTATTCGAACATTTTCCACCTTAATATAATAATTTAGTGACAATCTGCAAATTTGTTCTAGATTTGGTACTTTCATGTCGCAGCATAAAAATGTTATATACTTCTATAAGGAAATAGGTTGTATAACACAATATTTTGGGTTGTCAGGAGATGCACATTGTTTGTCTGGCACCTACAGTCTTCGTACTATCCCTGCTGTTTGTACGTAGATTGGCAGGCTATTTTTCTCCATTTATCTTGTAAAATTATTTTAAGTTTGTACTAATATGCACTCAGGGTGACATACATTATGAAAAGAGCCATGCTACAGGAACCGCGGGGATGACCGCGCTGGTGACCGCACACACACATGGGGGGTTGGGATTATTTTATTCGGGTGGGACCCTCGCCTCGGTTGTGAGGCGGTCATCCCCGTGGTCATCCATGCGGGTCGTCTAGAATAATTCTTATGAAAATATGAACTCAGGTTGACCTAAAGAATGAGATATTTGCTTCATTGTTAGGATTGAATATCTTTGCTGATAAGTTTAAGAATGCTTCATATGTTTGCCTTCCAATCAACATTCATCCATCTTGTCTACTTTGGTAGGTATATGTTGTGGAGCATGTTGACGATGCGACTGGATCTGATTGGCGTCCCCCGTCTCTCCCCACCGAACATTATGAGCAGCTCAGAACTCTTCGACTTCTATGAGATGGAAAAAAACCTGAATAAATGACAAATCAATGTACTTTCTTTAATCGTGCTAATAGTTGATTATTGCTTAACCATCCAACGGAGATGGATCGATGGCCCTTGTTTAACTTGGCATTTGACCATAGGCTTGAAGCCTATGTTACTATCTTCAAATTACAGACATTCTTCGTCTTGGATTGAAGAAGTCTTCATTGTTAAGCGGGGTATTTACAAAAATACCCTTAAAATTATGGATGTTTTGAAAAATCAAATGAAAGGTTTTTAGGAAGTAAAAAATACTGTGTAAAATGAAAAA